GGGGGGGGGGACAGAATAATGATTCACAAACGTAAAAGGGACAGACAGACACAAAGGTAGAGAAAAGGTGAAGTGAGTACTGTGAAATTAGTCGAATATGAAAGGCAATGGAGTCTTGGTAGTTTGGAGTCAGTAGTCAACTGTCGATTAATAGACTTTTTTGTCGCATGGGTATACGTTGCACAGGGCGCACCACGCGTAGGTAAGTCTATCGCTCACCCCCGTTTTTTGATCAAAACTATTTATAGGGGAGTACAACTAATGGCCAAGGGAAAATCCGTCTAGATTTATTGACTGGATAATCGAGCTAGCATGGACTTGTTGATTAATTGGACTGTTACCATCAAGGGCGTACTACACATCTCGTAAAATTGCAGGACTCGTTGACTTTATGGCAGCCTATTAACAAAGCTTTCTTCTATACTTTGCTAAACATTTTTCGCAAGCAATCAGCTAAGTTAGGGAATATAAAATACAAAGAATTTTTAGGTGAAAATTTTGTTCGGATTCAAGGAAATAAGATGACTCAAATAGGATGAATTAGAGCCCAGTGGTTTTAACAAGCCTGATAATGCAAACTAAACATTTCTATTAACAAAAATCATTCCATCTGTTCTCCACTTTCCACATTTACAAAAAATCAAACGCACATGAATCATCATCCTCGAGCAAGTCAAATCCCAAATATCAAATTTTCATAAATCAGAAACCACAATACACCACAAATGCGCAAGAAGAAAAATTAGCGAAACATCATAGACGATAGTAAAGAAATTCAGTGATGTATATATATTAATCGATCGTCGCGATAGTCGATAATAGGCAGAAGAAAAGAGGATCTAAACGAGCAAGCCATGGGGAATGCTAAACAAGCCAGGAAGTGATACGGAACAGAACAAAAACAAAATTTGGACCGATGATAGGAGGAAAAGGAGATAGAGGGTTGGGGGGGGGGGGGAATCGATATTATCCCAGGCTCGAGGGAGGAAGTAAAACAGTGTGAACTAGTCTTCCAATTTGTGCATCTTGGCGATTCGCTTTCGCAGCTCCATTGGGAACATCTCGTAGCAGGATTTGCACACAGGACGCAGGTCAAACTCGTAGAACTTTGTCCTAAAATTAGGATAAAATCTGTAATTCGATGTAGAAGCAAATCAACTGGTTGTTAATGCATTATCAATTCCCATTTAATTTAGATAGAATGCCACCGTCACTTCCTTAAATTGATGCAGTAATCATGTGGTACAGGAACCGATTGAAGATTCGATTAGAATTATGATTTGGAGAGCAGCCTAGTACAACATTAAAACAACAAACAAAAACTGCATAAAGTATTGTTTCCAATGGACAGGTTAAAGAAATTAGACATCAACCACTACAGGTTTGAACTCCTCGGTCAAATTGGTACCAATGACAATTTTTGAAAAATGTAGGATGCAAATATTCTGCAGAGAACCTCAGAAACATCAGCATCCAGAAGGATTGAATGGTAGACTTTTTCGAGCAATAGGTACTATTTGAAGGCTATCAGACAAAGAATCGTATGTTAACAAGACTAAGATGGCAGCTCGTGTGTTTTCTCTTGGCAAGTTTGAAAAGGAAGTCAAGAGGAAACTAAGTTATGCGACGCGAGCATAAAAACATCTCCGAGTCTTCATGCATTCATTGACAGATCTTATGCATGTTCCTCATTGGGAGTGAATTTCCTTTATTTCTCAAGTCAAATCTCCTCTGCTTTTCAAGCAATAAAAGCTGATTTCCCGTGGCATTCAGCAATGACTCAAAACTGCTTAAAGCAAGGCATTGCTAACATATCAAAAATTATTCTGAGGAATAAACAGCCTAGTCTTCCAATTGGTTGCAAAGATGAAGCGGTTTAGATATTGAGCAACTTGCTTTACAACGATAGACGATTCACAGTAAACAGTTCTTATCTCAGTTTATTTCACTTGAATGTTTAGAATTATCTCATCTGAATCCTCTCGTATTTTATTCTTATAACACCTAATAGCTATAAAGCTGGGTTCAACGGTAAATGAATAACTCTATTCAAGTTTGTGCGACTGCACTCAATTGGGACCTCCAATCCTAAGTCACATTTCCACTAAGTGTGTTGTGTTACGCCCTCCCCCCCCCTCCCACAAAGAGAAATTCAATGAGAGAACATAGTAAACTTACTTAGGACTGATACGACGATCACAAACAATACATCCGAAGTGGTCGACGCACCAGGCCTTGTTGAGAGCAAAAACAGTCTCGCCTGGAATGACCTGATTGCAGGAGAAGCAGAGCATACCAAAGAGTTGTTGATAGTGCAACTCACAGTAAGCCAGACCCTTCTTTTCGTAATGTCTTGAACCCAGGAAGGGCTTCTCACAACGCGCACAGACAAAGTGCTCTACGTGCCAAGTCTTGCCCAGTGCATGGACAACTCGCTCTTCGATGGGACGTCTGTGGAAGAGAAAGACACAATGGCCAATTATGATTCATTAAAGTGCAAACCAATCCGCACTGGGTGCCCAGTTTTCCCATCTGCAGCTGACTCACCGATTTTGATGGGCGCACGACAAAGAATGTGCTAAACGTAGGATTGGTTATCTTCACCAATCTTGTCTTTCAGAAATATACTTATCCATAAACCATCCATGAGCATTTCTAGTATTTGAAAAGACTCGTCTTTTTACAAATAGAAGGAAATAAAATCTGATATTAGTAAATTCCACCACCATCATTGATCCCATCTCTACCGCGGTGTACTATTACCCAGTCCTACTGTATGTGCTTTTTCATAAATACTCATCCATAAGTACTTTCGTTGCAAAGTGTTTACGATTACCTGATTTCTTATATGCAATACATTCCTCTCTTATTCAATCCCAGGAACTTACAACAAAATAGCAAGAAAAAAACGACAAAGAAATATTGATTGTAACGCAAACGACAATATAGAATAATCAGATGGCTAACTATAAATGCAAGTACTTTAAGGAAAGTAGACCTCTCCTTCAGAATGACGACTTGGTACTGCTCACAATTCAGTCTTTAGACGGGTCGTCTAAAAACCACAATCCACAGACAGAAAAAAACAAAAAAAGTTCAATTCTAGAACAGATTTTGACAACAAATTTACTAATGCATAGAAATATCTTTCAGATTATATGGAAAGGCCACTTTTTAAACAAACAAGTATAATCAGAAGATCAAATAAGAAGTAGATGGAGATAGCAAGACAATATTCCACTTCACATTAATAAGTGTAAATAAAATTTACAGTAGGATTTATGCATTCATCTAATTCATTCTACGTTGTTGAATTATACCTATACCAGTCTTCTCAAGCTTGACCTCTTACAATCGTCATGAGATGTATTGAACAGGATTATCAACACATAAGAAACTAAACTTCATTGGTATAAAATAGAGCCATTAAGTTAACAAGATTGAGATGAATAGATTGCGAAATCGGATTAACAGAAATTTTCCTAGTGAACGCAATAATTCAAACAGATTCCTTCTTTAATGTCCTTAGCCTCACAATCCCAGAAACATTCAGTACGCAAACCAATGAGTACACGTGGTCTTCACTCTACCGCTCGAAGTAGGCTTAAGCCAATTCCGGAAAGACTACCAATTTCATTCGATAGTGTCAGATAACGCACCACTTACATTAAAGCCCTTACTCAGAAAGATAATTGTATGCTTTTAAAATGAGAGAAGATAAAAGATCCAAGCGCTATATAATATTGCAGCATAAATTTGAAATGATAAACACAAAGAAAATAAGAACCTCGGGGAAAGAAACAATTCAACTAATAAAATTACCAGTCTTGAATAAAAAAAATAAAATGTATTTCTATGGAACAATACTAATCCAAAGATGTCAACATAGAGCTTTAAAGGAAAGTAATAATTAGAGAATCGTAGAAAGTATGTTGCTTAAATAAAATTGATTTACCTGCAGGCGCCACAAATAGGAATTCCCATTTTGTCGAAGCACCTTAGACAGTAGAGATCACCATCCTTTTCACGGGCATCTGAACTGAGTTCCGAACCACACGAGGAACAAGTGAAATGATAGGCATGATAAACTTCCGACTGATATTTTAACTGTTGGCTCTCATCAACATAAGAGTGGCATTTGAAACAGAGTATGCGACCTGAGCTATTTGCTTTCTCGCGATTGTTGCATTCATGACATAAGGCACTAAATTTAAAGTAGAGGATTAAAATTTTACAAAAGAAATAATATGGAATAAAATAATTCTATCTACTTACCGACCAGCATGCTTAACAAAACCATCATCCGCAAGACATTTGTCGCAAATCTGACAGCGGAAGCATTCAGGGTGCCAACTGCTATTCATGGCTTTAATTACACGACCAACGATAAAATAACCACATTTTCCGCAGCATGGTGCAAAGAGAACATGAAAATCATGTTCACAATATTTTCTACCATCAAACTAATATGATGAAGAAAAAAATACAGTTACTTACATCATAGTAAACTCCATCCGGAAACGGTTGAAAACATTGAGCACAACTAGATTGAGGATTAAACAAATGACGATGAAACTTACACAAAGCAATCCACATGATACTTCTCGTTTCGAGCCTGGACAACTTTTTCGTTTACTTTGAAGCCTTCATGACAATGACGACAGAAATCATCTCCAATTTCCAGACTATAAAGATTAAAAGGAAATGGTAATCAAACTTTGCCAGTTCATCTGTAGGCGGGTAGTTATCGTATCCTTCTGCATCGAGTCCTGAGATATTACGATGAAAATCGCCAGGAGCTGGCTGCACCTCGTCTTGAAGACCCATCTCTATAATTCGCAAGATAACGTTTTTACTGGCTGATTTAAATGTGGTGCGACATTAAAGATTGCCCAAATTGATACATAGAAACATAAATTTCCATCACATAATTTATTACTTTAAAAGTATCTTTACATAAAAACGTTATCTTAATTTTAAGCTATCATTAAAAGTTATTTGAATGGCACTTATTTGGCATGATTTTGTTAACCTCTAGCAAATGAGCTTAGATCAAGGTCAATGCAAGAATAAACAGTCTGTTGCTAATACCGTTAGTGTGCCTTATGTTTGACTTTTGGTCTCTGGTTCCCTGATTTTGTCATTATTTCTTACTCTCTATTGTCATGGAGTACTGTTTAAGCAAGCCCCTTTCATTGTGGCCACGGTCAGAAGTATTTTCTTTTGGAGTTTTCCCTATTCAACCTCATCCAAAGCTTTCTATTAGTGTAAATTTGTCATTTTACTTATTTTTTACTTCCAGAACATAAAAAAACTGGTCATTTATGCGAAAAGTAAGAATAATTTGACAACACCAAGTCTCAAGTGAGTGGATTCTTAGCAATACAAATTTTAGATACGGAGTTTGGAAGCACGTTGCGTGCAATAAGCTTAATTTTACGGAAGCTGTAGCCTGGACGTAAGTACACTATTATTTTTAATGATTTCTAGATATTTTGAAACATGTCTAGTCATGTGCAGTCAAAAAATGGAACATGTAATGAATATGGAGACGGTTCTTGCACAAATGGTAAATTCCACAGAAAGAGGTTCGATCATTCTTTTGTGAATTCAACTCCTAGAAAACGCAAGGCTTCAACAGTCTGTGGATTTATACACGTTTGCAATATTCTTGTACATTAATCAAATTTGCAAAGTCTCTTTGCGATCGTCTGCGGCTTCTGTTAGTGGGGAGTAGGTTTTGAATCGATTCATTAATATTTAACTTTGTCAAGATGGCCAGGTTCACCTTCAAAATGCTCTGACTTTCTTCCCCGGTCAGCAACTAAAATTTTCAAAGTAAATTTATGTTCATACGGACACTTATTTTTTCTTTCCAGAATACCTCTGAGCAACATCAGTTAAAATTTGTCACAGAGTATATACTTGATATATTGGAAATTCTTTCTGATCCAAGTACGTAATTTCATACTTTACTAAAACAAATGATGTTAAAATAAATATTTTTTCTTGTTTTTCAGATGATAGTCCAAATTCTCCTGCTGGAGATAAATCTTTACCCTTATCAGCACTTGATGCTCTTTCTTTTCTATTTGAAGGAACAGTTGATCGCTTAAGGTATTTCACAGCTTTGTTTATCGATAATAGCTTCTATTAGCACCATAAAACCACTCCGAGATATTCTTCTTGACCCACTGTGCATAACTCATGTCGGATACGATAAGGTGTGCCTTGTGCTCCATCCTTCTAATTAAATGCATTATTTCCTCATCTGTTTAATTAATCAATTTAGTCCAAAAAAACCTTCAGCATGCGATGCTTATACTCATGGATGCGAGCTAACTTGTGCCAGTATCCCTTCTCTGTTGAGTCCTGTCTTTTGAATGGGACGCCAATTCAGTGGGGCTATGTCTCTAGTTCGTCATCAAATTCTCCTCGGCGACCACGAATTGTGACCAATGTACAGCAGTTACCACCATCAACTGGATTTCGCGGGTCAGCTTAATTCTCTTCTCCTTTTACAGGCTTCCATATTTCTGTTTACGTTTTTTATAAATCCAGTACTTTTCTGACATTTGAAGCACAGCTTTAAGGTTAAATTTGGTTGGAATGTAAGGGGATCTGTCCTATAGAGTTTGGGTTTTTGTGCGTATATATTATTTATTTCACGGTATTATTTGCCACTTTTGAAATTTGATATGCTCTTCCGTCTTCGGTATACATAATTCCATAATTCTCTTGTTGATAGATTTGCATTAAACTTTGTGTCAGCATTAGGGTTAGCATTCTCTCTTATTTATTTATTAATCTTTGCCCACTTTGGCCATCAAATATCTAGTTGATGCTTAATCCGTTTTTATTTTTTCACATACATATTCGTCTAACTTATCTTTTTGTTAGGCTTATTTGCTCCCGTGTATATGCTCCCCTTGAAGCTCTAAAACTTCAAATCACCTGTGTTCATATGACCCCATTTCCTCCTCTTTAATTGGGGGGTGTATTCAATGTTAGTTTTGTTTTTCTCCTACGATGCATTTTATAGACTCCTCTGAGATTTTATTTCATTTTTTTCATACTTTTGGTCATTACCTACCAGCAAAACAGTAGGATTGGCAAATTTCTGTAGCCTAATATCTTATCACCGCGTTTCTACTTTTTTTGCATTCGGTTATTTTATGCAGCATAATGTGCTTATTTTCATGATTCCTTGTTAATTGTCGGTCTCTTGCGTCTAAATACAAGTGCTGATGCTCTGGTTAATGGATAATATAGCTATTCCATTATGCGGACTGGTTTGCTTTTGAACAGGTCTTTATTGAATAACTTGGTTAAGACTCATCATGTTTCCTGTGTTCGTGCTCAAACACTCGTTATTATTTCATACGGTCTGGGCAAAGTATTCTGATTTAAGTCACTTATGTTCTAGTTGTTCCCTTATTTCTTCAATTCAAAACGAATGGAGTATTTGAAAAGTCTCTCGGGGGCTTGAACAATTGACTATTTTAAATTGTTATGTTTTTATTCTTGATAGTTGCAGCGTATACTAATTATAATTTAGATACAATATTTCAAAGTACCTTCCCCTTTTAGGAATAAGCTCGTTGTTGCAGAAATACTTCACAAACAGTTCATTGCTTGTGTAAGATATACATTTAATTTTTAAATGACACTATTAATCGATGCGCAGCCTATTACCCGCACTATTGTATTTTAGGCTTCCCGTTTTCTTAAAAACTCAACTGTTGAAATCCGTCGAGCCACCTCCAGTTTTATCTACCTACTTGTTCCTCTAAGGTAAGGGCTTATGGTTTCTGTTTTTCGTTCAAAGTACAATGAGCTGATGCAATTCTCAAACAGTGTTTATAAGATCTCTGCAACGGCCACCTCTTTCTCAGCTATCTCTATTTTATAGACCTTTCTCGTGTTTCTTAAAGATGACGCATATTTCTTTTTCAAGAAAACTACTAGTCATGTCTTGGTGTCTGATCTAAGTAGAAAATTGCAAAAGAAAGTTTTTACTTTTAAGTTTTATTTTTTATTAGAGAAGGTTTATATTAGCTAGCTTTGCTTGTGGTAACTAGCGATCTTGAGAATCGCATTTAACTGAGCCGTATTCGTTAATACAGATGCGTTGCGCTTGATCGATGTCGTAACTCGACAATTGTGCTTGGTCCAGTTGAAAGCACACTAACGATAACCGACTGTGAGGATTGTGTAATAATCGCACCAACTCGACGAGTTGTGATATGGGCCTCACGGCGCCTCACTCTTCATCTTCTTTGTCCAACAAGACCCCTACTCCTACAAACTGCCACCGCTTCCTCTCTTCCATCGGCCACTGCTATCGATCCACATTCCTGTCCTCCTTCACCTCTTAGTGGACTGACTAGAAGGCGTAATCCACTGAGCAATGAGGATATCGTATTTGCACCGTTTCATACAAATTATCCGGAATTGAGGCATCATTTAGATAAGGCGTTTCTGGATTGCAATGTCAATTATTGGGATAAACCGCTGCTATTTGGTGAGCCTTAAATAGTAGTGCGCAATTATCGGAAGATTTTTTATTCTTTTCTTTTCAATTTTTCTTTATTGCCGAAGCTGCCATCTTTAAGAAGATGTGCTTATCATTCTCAAAGCATAGGGAATGAACTTGATCTAGATGCTCTGATTATTATTATTTTTTCAGTAGAGTGGTCAGTTATTACTTACTTTGGAGCGGATTGCTACACTTATAAGCCTTGACCTAAGCTCAGTAATCTCTATAGCGGATCCACCAGTTTGGAATCGTTGCCAGGGCGTAGCTAGGCTACCGCAAAACTCTAGAGGAAATAGACGTTTATTTGGGAAGTGTATTTTATAGACAAGGAGCTTCTAGTCATTGTAATACAATAGAGGGTTTGCTAAATGAAGCAATGCCTATTGATTGGCAGTTGGTTGGGTGTTCTCTGCTCTCACGACCGCACTTTCTCCCTACGCGACAAATAGCACGGCCACACCTTCCTGCCTGTCTGAGTGCGCATGAGATTCCTTCATTCAGCTATGACAGCGTTATGTGCTCCACAGCTTTGATACCCTATCTCATGATAATCGGAACTTATTTTTTGATATTGGTTGTTAAGCTTGAAGATATGTGAAACCCGACTTGCTAAGTGGAATTGAGTTCAATGAAGTAATAGAGTAGGCGTACAGTACTCTTATTTCTTGCTTTTTTTAACTTACAGTCGATCATCATACCACTACTTTTACGTTTATTTTACTTGCAGGTAATCTTTAAATTGATTATTTTTTAGAATTTCATCCTTCTAGTCATTTTACTAGGTTTTATGTGCGAGATATGCTCTTTGTGTGTTTTTTTTTCAGTAATTATTTTGTATTTTGTCTTTAAAGGTGGTGATTTTTGGCGATCGGGTACAAGTGAACATAATTCCATCGGTGTATGGAGTCTTCTCCCCCCGGAGAGCTTCTTTCCCTTCAACATTCCCCTCGCTCCCCTTATACCCAACGAAGAAGCCTTAGCTCAAACTGGAAACCTCGTCGATATTGGTGGCAGCATTAGCAGTAGGAGTCGAGCTATGTGCATTAAACAACGTGCTTATGATGTCTGTCGGGGTACAATCATAAGCACCACTAGTGAGCGTATTAATGGAAGCCGTCTCAATGACTATGGTTTGAATGGATCTGGGACAGTGGATGGTGAAAATGAGTTGGAGGATTTTGATGCCCCTGCTAAAGGAACCCGTCTGCTTATACCCCTACCGTCGACCTATGCAGACGCTATCAGGAAACGACGAGCGGCTTATGATAATTGGCGAAGGACCATAGCGGCAAGTTTCATCTGATAATTTTTCAATCCTTTTACTGTTGCAATTCCATTTGCCAAAATTGCTGAAATCGTACCAATAATATGACCCCGTTTTATGATGTATCTAAGTAAGCCATATGATTAACTTTATTGCCTATTTATGGGAGATTCATATGTTAATAAGCATGAGTGTTTTGTGGTGGGTAAATCATAATATTCTATTGTATTCTTAAAAGCGGCTATTTGGTTAGGCTTAATAAGTGGCATTAGTCTTATTGTGCATGCATTCTTCGATTTTGCCCAAATGATTCTTAGATTATATCAATGATACTATTTACGCAGTAGTGCATAAACTTCAATGTAAGGTTTACTGAGAGGCAAAAAGCGATTGGGAGGTTTAGTCGCGGTTTTGATCACTGTGCTTTTTTAAAACTTCATTCCTAAAGAGTTCTAGTCGCATGCGTTCAGAGCTTAGTCTTGGAAGTATGTAGGTTAAAAGTTGACATGGATGCTAGTTTTCAAGAGCGAATGTTTCCAATCGACTGTGCCTGTTTAACCTAAAATTTTAAGATTCAGTTCAAATCGATCCCAGAGTGGAATGCTTTGTTGCACACGAATGAACGAAGTTTAAACGAATTGCCAATAGCGCCACCCCATGCCGTTAAGGCTACAGAGTTGTTAATTGGCATTTTCTCAAACAACTTTACGACTTCTTTGTTTTAAACGGCTAAGTTTAGAAGCTAACACCATGACGTGTTGAAAACTGAGTTTTTTAAATCCATTCTATCATGAGGTGATGTCTAGACCGCGTTTTGGACAACTGTCACTTTTACATAAATTCTTATTTACTTATTTTACTTATTTTAAATGACAGGCGTTTTCGTAGTTATTATTATCCCTTTAGCTGACTTCGGGCTCCATAGAGAGGAGGAGAAAC